GGATATGTTCCTGGCTGACTGGCATCCTAGGGATTTAGCAGAGCTGGGGTCAAAGGCCCATCTATTCCTTTTGTTGACATTCCATTAACTCCCTGTTTTCAGCCTTAGACCAATATCTTACCATCTCCTGAAACTTAAATCTCTGACATCTGAAACTTCTGAGAAATAAACTAGTTGATGCCTTGCTGAGCAAGAGGGAAAAGGAACCATCACAGACCTTCAGTTAAATCTCTTTTCAGCCTTGTGCCTTATTTTTGTCATCTGGTATTTCTCATGACTCCACATTCTAAGCTTTTCAAAGGTTCTTCAAGGCAAAAAGCTGCTTGAGCCTTTTCTCTGAGCACTTCAAGCTGAAGTGTATGTAAGCTATATAGTTGACCATTGTATGATATGGGTCTGAAATGCATAGGTCCACTTATATACATTTTTTTTTCCACTAAATACGTACTACAGTACTACACTGTTCACAGTTGGTTGAATCTGTGAATGCAGAACCGAGGATGTGGAGGACCAATTGTAAAGTTACATGTGGATTTTCAACTGCAGCTGGTCAGTGTCCTTAACCCCATGTGTTCTTCAAGGGTCAGCTCTTGTTTCCTTGCCCCCTGTTAAGTCAATTAGCATCTCTCCATCTGCTGTGTCCTTTCATGATCTCTTTGTCTTTGAGGGTTATGCTTTAAAAAAATAAAATTCACTCCATGTCATTTTAGTAGGTTCTTTTAAAAAAGCGATCAATGCATATCACAGTCTGTTGTTTTTTAAAGTTCAAGTTCCTATTTTTAGAGCCATAAAGAAGCAAGGCAATTTTAGGAATAAAACTGGTTAGGATAAGTTCCCATCTAGTCCTTTGTAATGTATTCCTGTCTATTTCAGGGTACTTTTTGACCGCAAATCATGGATTTATTTGAACAAGTATTACTGCCAAGTATGTGCAGCATATGCATGATTGCACATGCATACATACACAGGTGCACAACAGGGGTATGCACTCACATACAGCTTGCTACATAGTAGCAAGATGTAGCTACATGTACAGCTACTATGTCTTCGTTTTAAAGATGAGCTATTGTTAAGGGAAAGGTTCAAGTATTGTCAGAATACTTTGAGGAAAGTGGCATTACAAAAAGTATTTTATCATAATGAGAATCAATTTTAGAGGACAACACAACTGAATTTGAATTCCAGCTATTCCATTTAAGTAGATGTTTAGCTCAGAAAGCAACTTAATTGCTCCAAACCTCAGTTTCTTGGTGTATTCAATGAGAAGAACAATACCTGTTTCAGGTAATGGAGATTGTCAGATAATAATAATAGCTGTTAAACACTTGATGTAATATCTGAGACATAGTAAGTAGCTGCATTAAAATAAAGCTATTATTATGTATTTTTTCTTAATCTTATCTTTATCAGTATTTTCTTTATTTCACTGTAAGTAAAACCTGTTACAGATTTTTTATATTTGTGAGGTCATTTAGAATATAATAGACTATTTGGAAACTGTCTTGCTATTTGTTCTTAAGTAGAATTAAATATAAATTGAATTTAAGGCCTAATTTTTGGTTGGGTCACTCAGACAACATTATGACTGCACTCCAGAATGTCTTTTTAAAAAATGTTCAAGGTTAATATAAACCATTTTAGAATATTTTATTGTTAAAGATGTAGAACTAGGTATGTATGTCATGATAGTTTATTGCCAGGTTTGGTCAAGAGGAACATGTTTTTCATTATGAATCTTGAAAAGCTTTCAGAAATAAAATGATTATTTCAAATCTGCATTGAAATGCAAGATTAAGTAATTTTTAAATAGTATCTTTTATAAAATGACAGTGATACTCATTGGTACTTTAACAGTTGATAATCAGCCTCCATTTGTATAAACACCATTCATGGGTCCTAGTATCTCTGACAAAAGAACTAGGTGAAAGGACTAAGTCAGTGCTTAAACATAGAACGGCACTTCCTCTTAATAAATATTTCAGCTTTTTCTCATTTCTTAAGACTCTGCATTCATCCTGAATTCTTTCATAGTCCAAGGAAGCCTACATACATGAAGGATGATAAGCTATTAAAGAAGACAATGAAATTAATCAGTTCTGTAAATTTTTGTATTTTGCATTGAAAATATTTTTGCATAGTATAAATGTAAAAGTGTCCTTTTCTATTATAGCTCTACTGGAATGTTTGTTTATTAAAATATTTGTTTGTTTGTTTAGTAATTACAGTACATTGATAACCAGTGTAGTCCCAGGGGATTATGATGGAGATTCACAAATGGATGTCCTTCTGACGTATCTTCCCAAAAATCATGCCAATGGTGAATTAGGAGCTGTTATCTTCTGGGGACAGAATCAAACATTAGGTGAATTTGTTTTAAATGTCTTTAATATTTGTCACTGGATATTAAAGGGAAAACATGCCTGGTATTCTTAGGTAAATGTAACAAAAATAATGTTCAAAAATTAGTTCAAAAATGCAGTTCTTATGTGTCAATAATTGTCTCTAAAAATCTTTTTAAAAGTCTGTTTTCTGATTTCCTTTTATAACCTAGAAGTGATCTGTAGTCAACTCCAGGGAACAAAATCCATTCTTATTAGTTTAAGGAAGAGAGATTTATTAAAAGGTTTTTATGCTTTACAGAGTTATTGGGTTGACTGAAGAACACACACTAAGTTGAACTTTCAGGAACAATTCTCAAAGCCTTTGAAGACACTGCTGCCTTTTTACCATCAGAAAGCAGCCAGATGCACAACAGGTGCTCCCTCAGTCCTTAAAATTCAGCGATCAGACATTTAAGACAGAAATGACAGAAACACAGCCTTCACCTCATTCCTACGTTGCAAAACCCATAGTGTATCTAATTAGCAGGGCTCATACTTTATTCAGAATCTTAGATGCAAGGATGTCTGAGAAATGCTGTTTTTGGTTTCTGGTCTCCCTAATACAGGAAAGCACAAAAAGGTTAAAGTTTGAGAGTCTGTCTACCATGTGTGTGTGCTAAGTTGCTTCAGTCATGTCCAACTCTTTGCGACCCTATGGACTATAGCTCACCAGGCTTGCTGTCCATGTGAATCTCCAGTCAAGACAGTCTACCTACCCTATCTTCCCATGAATCTTCAAGTTTTATCTGAAAAACCAATTAATTACACCTGAATGGGCAATTTTGTTCATAGAACCAGATTTCAAGGACTGAGGCAGAGAGGAGAGCATGGACATTTTTTAGAATCAAGTAGTTTTGCACATATTGGGTTCTTTACAGCAAAATCTTAATTGTCAGCTGCTCTAGTGGTAAACCGTATATAAAGAAGATTCATGTAAGAGATTTTCAGAATGAAGACTCAAAAGGAAGTTATTAGAATGCTGATATCCTCACTGTAGTGTGAAAGTGTTAGTCTCTCAGATGTGTCCAGTGCTGCGACCCCGTGGACTGTAGCTTGCCAGGCTCCTTTGTCCAGGCAATTCTCCAGGCAAGAATACTGGACTCAGTTGCCATTCCTTTCTCCAGGGGCTCTTCGTACCCAGGGATTGAACCTATGTCTCCTATATTGCAGACAGATTCTTTACTCTCTAAGCCATCAGGGAAGCCTATAAACTTTCCCAGTAGTTTATCTTTACAAACTTGATGTCCACTTAAGTTATAGTGTCTCATTAGTGATTAATGGTAAAAGTTGGAATTAGTTAGAGATGAATCTTGAAAAGAATAAAAGATTATTCTCTTCCCTAAGTGCAGATTTAAAAGATAGTATAAAATGCCTGTTCATTTATCTATATTTTCTTTTCTTTTATAGATCCTAGCAATATGACCATACTCAATAGGACTTTTCAAGATGAACCACTAATTATGGAGTAAGTATGTGCTTGCTTCCCTTTAGATGATTTTAAACTTAAAAACATAAAGTCTTTTACATAGGAAACTACTTTGCTCAGTCGTGTTGGCTCTGTATTCATTCTCCCTTTAAAGCTGATAGAGGCCTGCCCTCTTAGTTATATGATATTTACTTGCCATAATGGAAGAAAGAGAAAATTGAAATTCATTATTTTGGAAAAAGAAAGAGATTTGTCTTTTTGGTTTTGTCTTAATAGTTTTGAATGTATCCATGATGGATCTTTATTGATCCTAGCCATGTCGTTATTCAGAGAACTAAGATAACTGTTTTTGGATAAAACTGTTAGTGCTTGACTGGTACATATGAAGGGTAGAGGATTTCCTCTGGTTGACTTAGAACTATTTCTATATTAAGGAAAAACTTTGTCCTTTTTTACAGATCTTGCTTAGTATTATCATTTATCTCCTCAAAGTAGACTCATGTACCAACATAAGGTTAATTCAAATAGCTGTTAGGATTCTGATAATGATATAGATACTATCTTGGGGACTAAACAGTGTACAGCCACTTTCTTGCTTCTAGTGCTGCCTTTTGTACAGTTATTAAAATCATAGTTGTATATCAATAGGTCAGTGACTATTAGAAGTCTGAACTTTAATCCATGAATTAATCTTTTCGAGGTTCTCAGCTTGATTTCTTTTATAATTAGGTGTTTTTCATTGTTACAATATTCAATGGCTAGTATAAATTTTTACACCATCTTAGGGATTACTTTTGTGGGTTATTTCCCCCAGGCCCATCTGACTAAATAAGGAGGAGGGTTATGATTCTGAAATTACGGTCTCCTTATTACTCAGAGATAGGCTAGACTATGCAGAGGCTACAGACGACACCAGAATCTCACAACAGAAGTTTATTTCTTGCTCATACTGCATGTCCACTGTGGGTCACTGATAGTCTGTGCTCTTTCACTAGCACTCAGAGTGTCTCACAGGCCTGATCATCTGTGTAGCTGGGCCATTTGAAACACGTTCTTATTGCCGAGGTGGCTAGAGGGTCCAATAACAAAAGTTAAACCTGTCACTTCTGACGTTCAATTGACTACAACAGATACTATTGTATGTTTACCACACCTACCCAAAGTTTTTTTTTTTTAATTAAATTGGAAGTGAGAATTTAATAGAATAGCTGCTTAATGTTTTTAATGTTTTCTTTTCAGCTTCAATGGTGACTTAATTCCTGATATATTTGGTATCACAAATGAATCCAGCCAACCACAGATATTATTAGGAAAGTGAGTAAATATGATTATAACCATGTAATTAATTATACATGTTGGTGCTAGAGGGACTGTGTGTCTGTATGAACTGATTGCTTTTACCGTTCGAGGGGGGAATCCCCATCTTATTGGAAATCCTTAATTTTTAAAAGGACATTTGGTCAACATAAAAATTTCCTCAAACATTATGGATTTGCTCTGCCACTGGTTTCTGTGTAGAGCCAGTTTAATCATTTTACCCCCCTGGAAATTAGAGATAGAAACTTCACAAGTCCCCATTTAAATATTGGTTCATAGCTAATCAACGAATATAGTAAATTTGCAGGATATAAAATTAACACACAGAAATCCCTTGCATTCCTATATGCTGAGAAAACAGAAAGAGAAATTAAGGAAACAATACCATTCACCATTGCAACAAAAAGAATAAAATACTTAGGAGTATATCTACCTAAAGAAACAAAAGACCTATACATAGAAAACTATAAAACACTGATGAA